CAACATTAAACCAGATACACTGAACTTGACAGAAGAAAAAATGAGGAATAGCCTTGAATGCATCAGCACAAGAGACAACTTCCTAAACAGAACATTAATAACTCATGCATTGAGATTGACAATTAATAAATGAGACCTTTATGAAACTAAAAATCTGCTGTAAATCAAAGGATACCATGAATAGGACAAAATGACAACCTACCAAATGAGAAAATATTTGCACCAACTCCACATCTAATAGAGGCTAGTAAGCAAAATATATAAAGAACTCAAGAAACTAGACATCAACAAACCAAATAATCCAATTAAAAAATGAGTTACAGATTTAAACAGCAAATTCTTAATAGAGAAATCTCAAATGGCTAAGAAACACTTTAAGAAATGTTCAGCATCCTTACCCATCAGGAAAATGACTTACACCTATCAGAATGGCTATGATCAATAAGACAAGTGACAGCTCATGCTGGAAAGGATGTGGAGCAAGGGGAACACTCCTCCATTGCTGGTGGGAGCACAAACATGTACAGTCACTATGGAAATCAATATGGTGGTTCCTCAGAAATTTGGGAATCAACCTATCTCAAGATCCAGCTAAACCATTCTTGAGCCTATACCCAAAAGATGTTTCACCCTACCACAAGGACACTTGCTCAACTACGTTCATTGTGGCTTTATTCACAATAGCCAGACGCAGGAAACAACTTAGATGTCCCTCAACTAAAGACTGGAAAATGTGGATTATTACACAATGGATTATAACTCAGCTGTTAGAAAAAATGACATCATAAAATCTGCACGCTAATGGAACTAGAAAAAAAATCATCCTGAGAAAGGCAACCTAGACCCAGAAAGACAAACACGATGTGTACTCATTTGTAAGTAACAAGGAGGGCTTTAGGGATGGATGTGTGGATCTCCAGGGGAAGAAGAAATAGAATACATTTTGTGGATGGAGAGGGTGTGGGTGTGGATGAGAACAAGAGGGAGCAGGTTGGGGAAGGAGGGAATAAAGGGGAGAGTACAGGGAGAGACAACTGGAATATGAGTATTTAGAGGGCCATATGAAAACCTAGTAGAGTGGAAACTTCCTAGAACCTAGAAGGGTGACCCTATTGAGGACTCCCAGTAACAGAGGATTTGGAACCTGAACTGCCCATCTTTTGTTAACCAGGTGAGGCTCTCAGTGGTGGAACTGGGACACCATCCTAGCTACAAACCCTTCAACCCCCACCTGTCTTGCCTGCAAGATGTGCTGGGATAATGGTGTCTCAGAGATTGTGGGAGTAGCTAACCAATGGGTCTAACTTGAGACTCAAACCACAAAAGGGAGCCCATGCCCAACACTCCCTATATGGGCAGCAACCAGAAGCTGGATGGCTCAGAGACGTAGGAGAAAAAATCAATGAAGTGATTCCTAACGATAGTCTGCTATACCTATAGATCAGTGCCTAGCCCAATTGCCATCAGACAGGCTTCTTCTGGCAGTTGATGGGAAAAAGATGCAGAGACTCACACCCAAACATTAGGTGGAGCTCCAGGGAACACCTCAGAAGAGGGGAAGGAAGAATTGTAGGAGCCACAGGGATCAAAGACACAGGAACATGGCCCATAGAATCAATTAAGAAAGGCTCACAGGAGGTCACAGAGACTGAAGTGGCAATCACGGAGCCTAATAGGAACTGCACTAGGTCCTTTGCATACATGCTGTAGTTATTTAGCTTGGGGATTTTGTGGGACTTTTAACAGTGGGAGTTGAGACTGTCTCTAACTCTTGCATGTTCTTCAGACCATTTTCCTCCTACTGGTTTGGTTGTGTCGATTTTTATTGCATCTTATTATGCTGTGTTCCATTGATATCACTGGAAGGCTTGCTCTTTTCTGGAGGGAGATGGAGGAGGAGTAGATGTGGGGACGAGGTAACGTGGGTTGGGGCTGGGAGGAGTAGAGGAGGAGGGGCTGAGGCAGGGAGCTTCGAGGAGTAGAGAGAGGGGAGGCTGCACTCAAGTTGTAATGTATGAGAGAAGAATAAATAAAAGAAAAATAAGTAAACTTTAGTGTATATCCTTACCATTCTACTAAAATAGTCTTGGATTTACCACAAATAACAATTACTATGTGTAGAACTAGCAAAACACTAAGGCTTCATAGCCGAAAGTATTAATAGCCTTAACTATTCTTATTACAGATCCACAGTCAGAGGTACTTTGTTTTTACAGTTACCTTTCTTCAGAACTCTTCTTAGGGCAGGAACAATTATACATGTCTCTGAACCTGTAGGCTCAGCAGACAGATATATTTTTGAAAAGGTTAAGCTATGCTGAGCAAGGTAATCCTCAAAAGATGGATGCTGGAGAAATAAATATTCAGTACTTAAATTAACTTCTTATTTGGCACTTAAAAACAAATTGCCAAGAATTATCTTCATCAAATAGAGCACTTACTTACTCTCTTGGAAAAAGAAAGTGAGATCTACTTCAAAATGCTGGAAAGAAAGCAGAATTTTTTAAACAGTCTCCTGAATAATAGAAGCCATTAGAATCAAAACAAGGTTTGGCCCCTTGAATGTTAATGGAAATGCCTCAAAACTAGAGAGGTTTTTTTTTTGGCGGGGGGGATTGGATATCTAGTTCAGCGGCAGAGAACATGTCTGTGTGCATCAGGCCTGGGTTCAATCTTCAGTACCAAAGAAAAAGAAAGAAGTAGACTCTCATGACTACTAGATTACACACACTCTTTATATTGCACTCCCAACTTTAGGATGTTGTTATTTTTTTACCAGAGACGCTAAAACAGCTTTCAGATTTCCAAACCCCAATGTGGTGCTTCGAATAGGAATGCCCTCTATAGACTCATGTGTGTGAAATACTTAGCCCATATGGAGTGGCACTTTTAGAAGGTGTAGCCTTGTTGAAGTAGGTATGGCTTGTTGAAGGAAGTATGTCACTATGGGCTTTGAAATCTCCTAATCTCAAGGTATGCTATGTGTGGTACACAGTTGCTTCTGCTGCCTGTGGATAAAGTTGGAGAACTCTCAGCTACCTTTCCAGCACCATGTCTGCCTGTATGCCACCATATTTCCTGCCATGACAATAATAGACTAAACCTCTGAAACTGTAGGCCACCCAAATTAAACGTTTTCCTTTATAAGAACTGCCGTGGTCATGGTATCTCTTCACAACAATAGAAACCCTAACTAAGACATCCATACATCAATTTTCAAAAAGTTACCACTGACTTGATAATACTAAGACACTTTACAAGAATTCAGTGATTGGAATGTGTGTACTAAAAATACATTAAGTATTTTAATTATACTTAATTTAGTATAATGGTTTGAATTCCTTCTTTCAAAGAGTCGAATTAAAATGGACTGGGTGTGGTGGTGAACACCTATCCCAGCAGAGGCGGGTAGATCTCTGTGAGTTGAAGGCCACTGGTCTACAAAGCAAGTTTCAGGAAAGCCAAATCTGTTACACAGAGAAACCCTGTTGAAAGTACCTCCTAGGATAGTCTATCTATCTATCTATCCATTGGTTTTTTCTGAGACAGGGTTTCTCTGTGTAACAGATTTGTCCTGGAACTCATTTTGCAGACAGGTTGTCCCCGAACTCACAGAGATCCAACTGCCTCAGCCTCCCAAGTGCTGGGATGGACTTCTTTAAACTGTAAAAGAATATATACAGTGCTCCAATTTATACTGAAAGTCAACCAGAGTTAATACTATTAAAAGAGTAAGTATACTATTAAAAGAGTAAGTAAGCCTCATTAATGTGTGAGTATAATCAGAAGTTATCTTTTAAAACCTTATTCCTAATCTATGTCTAGATTAAACTTTAATTCTGAAAGGGTCCAATTTAATTAAGTATTTTATTATTATGCAGGTAATGGACTTTTTCTGAGTTCTACCCAATATTCTAAAAGGTAGAGACTAGAGTATGTGTTAATGGTGGTCAGGAAACACTGACTCCATGGAGGTGAAAACTCACACTTTGGGTATGAGGTGGGTAAAATGATAAAAGATTTTTCTTCATATTCACAACCATAGGAAAACACACAATACTAAAGTAGATACCAGTATATCTGAGATCTGGGGTATTAAAATTTAATTGGAGAGTGGGTGATTGGGACAAAAATGTCTTAAATATATATTTTACAAGGAGAAAAAGATGGAAAATATGATTGAGGGTAAAACTGAGTTAGACATTCCTGGTTTCCATTCACAACTCAGAGATAAGTTGGGAAAGTAACTTGATATCATGAAGCCTAAATTTCTTCATGAATAAAATAGAAATTATAACTTCTCCCCAACAGTTAAAAATTCAAATAGAAAACATATGCAAAAGCAAGTAACACTGAGCTTGGAATACTTCTGCTACTAAGCAAATATTAGCTCTCTTCCCCTTCCTCCCTCTTTTGAGAATGTTGCGGATCATATACTAGCTACAGAACAATATGTAGATTCTACATAGAGACATACACATAGGGAAACACATAGAGCCCTGGATGATCTCCAAAAATATGGCTTCTATATACTATCCAGGACCAAGGTTTGACAGTAGACTCTAATTCAAACACATACTTGAGTTCTCATCCCCAAACTGTGATTCTTTTAGTTGCATAAAATGAGATAAAGTACTTAACTCTCATGTTCCTCAGTTTCCACATTTGTATCTCAGGGTTGTCATGAAGTAATAAAAAAAAGTAAAAAAAAATGAAAGAAGAAAGATGATAGATAGATAGATAGATAGATAGATAGATAGATAGATACTTGTAGAACTAGGTTAATCAATCAAATTTCCTTATAAGTTACTACTATGTGTGAATGTGACTCTCAGTGTTCATATGTTGAAAACTTAATTTCCAATGAAACCATGGTACAGGTAGTACCTTCAAGGCTACATCGTAAGGGCTCTTCCATCAGTAGAAGCTTTCTCTCTCACATTCTCTCCCTCTCTCAGAATATTTTGACAGTTTAAAACAAAACACCAGGAAACTCTTACCTATCTCTCTGTTCATCTATAGAGCAGTCACTTAAGAAAGATGACCCCAATAGTCCAAGCATAGGTTTGTGACCTGTCCTGTCGGAAGTGTGACACACTCGAGAAGCCAGGCGCAGATTCATGGGCAACTCCAAAGTTGGGACTCTGGTGCACAGGTGATGAAGATGAGGCAAGGGATAGCCCTGTGGGATTCTATAACAGGAAAGAAAGTGAGCTTCTTTCATCATATTATAGATGTTAGATAAAAAATACATTGATATTGGCAATTCAGTTCAGGCTCTAAAACAAACAGTCAAGTATAGGGATCAGACACAAAACTATAATAATGGTTTGTAACAAATTTAATATTGCAGCATTGGGAAATTTCCAGAGTTTAAAATTCATAGAAATGAACATGTCTTATACACATCAGACAATGAATAGGTCTAAGGCAAACTCATTCCTCCAGTGGTCTCTCCTCACTTGAATTCTGTAACTCTGTTTAGGGTTCCTCCCTCTGTTAAAGAAAAGATTGGACAATACCCACACAACAGAATTTCATCAGTAGAACACTGTGTCTTCAGGTGTCATGTCCCTTCCCACTGCCAAAATGTGCCTCTCCCTTGCCTTTCCAAAGGATAAAAGGAGTCATGATGACCTGCTTTCTTGATGCTGCATGCCACCTGCCATCTAATTAACCCCTTAAGCACAAAGCTGTGTTCCAGGTGCTTTCCACATTCTAACCCTCATAAATCTGTACAGAGAGATCACCCTTTCTTTGGAGCAGGCCTAGTTTGGCTAGGTCCCAAGATCAGCAGTTCCTGGGATCCAAGTACATTATTGCTCTCTGTAAACCCAATGTCTTTCCAATTAATTAAGACTGAAAACTCCTGAGAAGTGCCCTTCATCTGATGCTACTCCAACCCAGTTCTCCCCTGCACTGGATCAGAGGAGCTTGGCACATATAGGCCAAGCTCTCCAAGACCTTCAAGCCACGCTCTACATGACCTTCAAGAACACTCTAAATGACCTTCAAGCCACATCTGACAGTGCTAACACTTCTTGAAACTGTTCATTCTCTGTGAGATTTTTCAGAGCATCCTCTAGCCTCAGATTTCCATCTTTCTCTCAATTTGTCTTAATTTGAAGTCTTTGGCTTCCCAGTTGGGTGTGCCTTCTAGGTTCCAACTTCCCTTTGAACACAGGCAAAAATCCTCTCCAGTGGGATTTTTTTCCCTTCTGCTGAATGCTCCAAATGTCATCCCTGTTGTCACAATAACCTAGATTCCTCATACTCAAGGTACGAAATACCTGACATCTCTCTCCTTCACTTGCAAATTCAAGGCAAAGCAGAGGCCCCGTCCGTCCCTTCTCTACTCATTATCAGCTTGCTTCAGGCATGGTGTTTCTCAAAGACAAGGCTTGATCAGGTAATCTGGGCACTATGCTCTCTCTTTTGCCATCTGCAGATTCATCTTTGCTGCCTTTACTCAGCACAGTGGTTCTCTGTTGCTTACTTGCACCTGTCTGGCATCTCTCTAAGTTTAAAGACATCTTAGCCTCCTGCCTGACTTTCAGCACCCAAGTTAAGAGTGTAGCTCTTGGGTTGTGCTGACTGTATTTAAGTACTTTTAAAATTCGTATGTGTCCCTAGGTCTTGACTTAAGAAGAGCAAATGCTTTTACAACAGTCTCTCACATAGCAGATGTCAAGTGTTATCAGCTTGAAGGACAACATACAAAGACAGAGTGTTGTCTACCCTTCTGCTCATGTCTAAACATCCTTCAGACAATACCTGATGACAGGTGCCTCTGCAAAGACTGTTTTTTTCTTTTTCTTTCATTCATTTTCTTCTTTACTCTGCTATCCCCCTTGATTAGAGGGAGAGTGTCTGTATTTTATAAGTGTCTCTTTCCATGCACTGTATTAGTCCTGTTTGTTTGTTTGTTTGTCCCTTTCCAGGTGATCAGTGCTGCTCTGTGTGCTGCTCATGTGTCTAGAAAACTTCAACTAGCAGCACAATATAAAGAATATACTATGGCGTTGTTGGGGGCAGGATCAGAGTCTTAGTTCTTGAGCTTGCAAGTTATATTATCAACTTCTTTTTTTAAAAAAAAAAACCTTTAGTTAAAGGAATAATATAAAAATTTCCTAGCTTTTACATTTATGATAACTATTTTAAAAAAACTAAAATGAATATTCTCGGGCTGTAGAATTATTCGTTTTATTTTTTGTTACTGGATTGCAATAAATAGCATTTAGCCTATTGCTAGGCAATTATTCAATCACACACAAAGCATAGATCCAACAAGGACAGGGTATGACATGTGTGAATACTGTGAAGGAGAAGAAAAGGTAAGTCTAAAGACAGCAAAATGTCTGAGACAAGAAACCTAACCAGGAGAGTGAAAATCTATGACCAGGAATGCAGGGCTATGGTTTCTCCCCTGGTAAAAAATGGAGAGAAAGGGAGATGGGGGGAGTAGGGAAAGGAACAAAAAGGCAAGATCCCATGTCAAGCCTACGTAAACCATCATCCTGCTTCAGACAGGTCCTGGCTAGTAGAGATTATACTACTGATTTTGGTTTGTTGTTTTGTTTTATTGGTTTTTCTTTCAACATAAAAAGTATTGCAAACATCTGAATTCCTCATGCTCCCATCAGTCTAACAACACAGATTAGCAAATGAATCTTCCTTGCTAGACTGAGCTAAACAGCAATAAGCTGCAATGGAGAACTGAGTTCCCGGGGCAATCCCTTGCTTTGAGGGTTAGTCACTGGTGAGAAAAGATAAATTGGTTAAAGACAAAGGAACAGTGTATTAAACTTTGAGCAATATTTTTCCAAGATTCTCTTTTATAAAACAAATTCTTTAAATGCCCTGTATGTCTTACCCTGCATTTCAGTCTTGTTTCTCTATGATGGAAGTTTCTAAAATCAGCTTTTGTGAATTAAAATAACAAATATATATCAATAAGATCTACAAATATTTTTGGCATTCTCAAGAAAGCCTGTGTGTTTTTACAGCACACTCTCTTTAAGCAGGACTATTTGTCATTCTTTGAAATGCTAAGACATAAGAAAGAAAAGATCCTGACTCTGTGTGTGGTCACACTACTTTGCTTAATGCACTAAATGCAAAGATTTTTAGGGACAAAAAAAATCAAGAAGTTTCTGCTTCATTGATAATCTGACAGTAACTATTTATTGAAGGTAAAATACTTGTTGCCTGCTGTCACTATTTGTTTTAATACATAATCTTGCTAACTAAATGAGCTTAAAGCAATGCAGATAAGCAATGGCATGCAGAGGGTCACTTAAATGCCAATTTCACTGTCTCATCGGATTTGGAATTCTTTACCCATGAATCTACTCTCAACTACTAAATTGTGAGTTATGTCCACTTACAAAGTGCAAGCCAGCACTTAAAGAAAAATAAAACAGGTTGCCTTCCATGTCTAGACCTTCCCAGTTTCCTGAGCAACAGCAAAAGCCAATAATTAAACTTTTTTTAAATCTCCATAAAGAGCTGAATGAAGGATAATCTAGAATAAAGCAACCCATAAAAACCAGTGGTAAAATGAAGAGAAAACCAATTTCAAGAAGGATGAGTGACAACAGCTAAACCAAAGTTGGTACTGCACTCACACCACATCAAACTCAAGCTGTATTCATTTGTGGTAAGAAACCCCAGTTTTGTAGACTTTTGTCTCATTTTGCTTTGTTTGGACAGTTTTTGTCTTACTGGTTTTTTCATTGTATATTTTTGTTTCTGTTTTGGTTTTTTTTTGAGGGGGAGGGGTTGCTCATCTCTTCATTTTTTTTTTTTTTTTTTTTTTTGGGGGGGGGGGGTTTTCTTTTTTTTTTTTTTTTTTTTTTTTTTTTTTTTTTTGGAGAGTGTGTGGGTAGAGAGGTGGGGAGGACCTGGGAGCCAATTAGAGCAGGGAGGAATATGGTCAAAATATACTGTATAAAAGTTTTTTCTCAATAATAATAGAAGAAACTTCATTAAAGATACAGCCAGGGGAGAGGGAAACATGAATGGACAGTAGAGAGAATCCCAAATTATTAAACTGACTAGCCTATGCCCATGTTGAGTTAGGTTTTTATTTTATCGAGGTAAAATTAAGCAATATAATAAGCAGTTAATCAAACCATGACTAAAGCAGTGGTCTCTACCATGCTGTCTCTTTATTCTAAGCACTGTTATAAAAACCATTCCTCAAAACCAGAAACAGAGATGGTGGAGGGAAGCACACCCACCTGAACTACAAAACCCGCCACCCCTCACCAACTCTTCCTTTGAGAAGCTCCCACTTGGATCTCCACATGACATGATAAGACATTTAGTTTCTCCTTCTAAAAATTCATTTTCATGTATCAAGCCACTGAGTGCCTACTCTTTGGGTAAGAAGATGTGTAAAGGGGTTGGAGACAGCTCAGCAGCTAATGTCATTGCCTAGGGAGGATTGGATCCCCAGCGACCACACTATTTTTAATTCTAGTTCAAAGAGATCCAATGCCCTCTTTGGGCCTCCCTAGATACCAGGCATGCATTTGGTGCTCATAACATGTATGCAAGCAAGCACTCACACACATAAAATAAAAATAAGTATTTAAGAAGAAAACAGAAATATATAAATTTAAGGAAGTTACTTTTTCATTCGTTTTTTATCCTCACGATATCTTCTTACAAACTTTCTTGATTTCAATGGCTTAACAATTGGTCTACTTTTTTGTATTCGTTTAGCTTCTGTTCCTCTGATTTGCAAGAATTCTGTAGATTTCACCTTTTAAAACACATAAAGCATGTTGTTAAGGAAAACTGGAATATGAGGAGTTAGACCTTTCATATTTAATGCTATGTCTCATATTTAAACTCGTGATTTCTACGTGTATAGCAGAATACAAACACTAAAGGTAAGTTACTGTTTCTAAAGCCATTCCTAATTTTATGTATGTATATTAATGAAAATACAAAAATATTAGTATCATATTTACTTACAGTATTTGAATTTATTACCTTAAATTACTAAAGAAAAAACACAAGATGAACCCAGGGTCTCATGCATGCTAAACAAACACTCTACCACTAAACTATGCCCCAATCTCCTTTTCTTTTTTTTCATGTATGGTATGTGTGTGAATATATATGTTCTCATGTGTGTTTGTGTGCCTATAGAGGTTCATGACTGATGATGAGAGCATCCCTCATGACTCTCTACCTTCCTCATTGGGAGTACAGTCTCACAGTTGAACTCACAGCTTACCATTCCAGTTAGTCTTGCTAGCCGGCTTGCTACAGGGATCCAGGCTCCACCTTCTGAGGCTGACATTCAAAGCAGGCTCCAGTACCCACCTGGAATTTGTATGAGTTATGGGCATGCATCCTTACCATCTCTCCTCCTACTCTTCTTGATTGATGTTTTTTCCTCTCCATCCCCTTGATTTGGTATTTTAATAGGACCCACCATTAGTTTCTGAAAGTTTTGCAGGACTTCTGGTTATAATCACAGGTGAAATGAGTTTCAATGCTTTATAGTATAATTTTGAGCAATGTTTATCAAATTCTACTTCTTAGAGTTGTACTGTTTTGTATTTCTATTGCTTGGTAAACCCAAATACACTCTGTCTCACAAATAGTTGCTTCTTAATAATTATGAGTTGAAAATATTATTGTCTCAGAATTCCTAGAATTCTTTCAGAATACATGGTGGTAATAATTCACACACGAGTTTTCTCCTTGGATTGCTCTGAGCTTTTGTTTTGTTTTGAGACTTGAAAGAGGAACCAGAAAGACTCTCCCTGAAAAGGCAGAAGTATAGCAGGATAAGTAGGAGACAGGTAAAAAAAGTTGTTACAAGTTAGCTGCAAGATTGAGGCTTATTTCTTAGGTAAGGAATTAGTGAATCATGAAGGCAGAGCATTCCAGTCACACCTAAACTCTGCCTACAGTATCTCTACCAGTCTTGGTCATCTGCATGAACAAGGTCAGTCACAGTGAACTTGGATACTACAGAGTCAGCCATTTTCTCTTCCAAACACTTCAACTTGCTGACATTTCTGTTTTGTTTCTTTATTACTGAGTAGAACAACTTTCATCTACCAGTCTAAATTCAAACCTCAGGAACCATCAGAGAGAGTACAATCTAGCTCCTTTCCATTTGACCAACAGTTCAATATGTGAATATATTCACTGCCTTGGCCAGCTTTTCCCCCAGATGAACAACTATCCCTTACATGAAACAGTTTTGAAATGGTGGCTTTGTCATTTCCTCCTCAGTCTAATTTGTCAAGGGCCCTCATGTGGTTAGGTACTCAGCTATGAACACAATATTTGACATATGATATAATCAAATCAAGCAAGTGAAAGATGACCCTCCTATGGCACCCATCAACTAATGTAAACTGCAACTATATTTGTCTTCCCTATCACAAAACAACATTATAAGTAAAAGCCTTACGGCTGTTCACATTTGCTACTAAATCCTCCCATACTTTGGTGGACCCAAAGGCAAAAACATAACAAATCTTCATGCCTATTAAATTTAATCTGAGCTCTAAGCAACTAAATTTTAGATATTATCTCTCTAAATCCAATCAGTAAATCTCTCATATTATCATCCACATTATGGAGGAATATGCTAAACTGGCTACAACTAGAGGCTTTTGCACACTAATCATGTACCATATAGATGCTTGACTCCATACAAATCTGTCCAGTAGTTCTAACATTCTCACTGGCAGCACTGGTAGGAGGCATTTTTATATGGACTGCTGAAATTCAGAGCATAGCAACTAGTAAACACTGATTGTACTAACTAAGACATCTCTGTGCCAGATACTAAGTGCTATCTACACAGCAGCTGTATAGCATCCCTGCAATAGCAAAGTGGCACTGCCACTATCCTCACCTAACAACACAGACATAGCTTGGTAATTAGGCCCAGCTCACACCTCTAGTAATGGGGACAAAGGAGCCATAGCCATGAAAAATGTGGGCCCAGAGCCTTGTGGCTTGTCCATGACACTCACAGTAAGCAAGATACCTAGCATTTTTCTGATAGTCCATCTAATAAAATTCTAAGAGCAGAAATAAGGTTGGTCTTCGTGTTTGTCCCTAGGGAGCCCATGTTCAAAGAATTATCTCTTCCTGTTAGAGGGGCTGAGGTACATGTTTTTAATAAGCTATTTAATCATTCTCAGGCATCCTACAAGACCAGAACAGCACAGAGATTGTAGAAATCAAGACCTTTGCCCTTAGAGCCTAGAGTTTTTGCAGTTGCTGTCTTCTCCAAAGCACTCCAAAGCAGGCTCTGTGTCTTTGTCATTTAGCACTGATAGGCAGCAAGCACTCAGCCACTCAACAGCACAGGGGGTGGAGAGCATCTACCTGAGCCAACCTGTTCATACTGGAATTAACTCTTGAACTCTCAAATCCAGGATTTTGGGTTTTTTAAGCCAAATTCTTCTTTGTAAACTAAAGATTGCTTTCCTTGTCAGTCTTCAAAATGAAGAGGCGCTCATGAGCTTCCTCTTCTCTGCCATATGTCTGTTTACTTAAAAACCTCATCTTTTTATTCAAAACTAAACGGAGGGAACTGTCGTCGGCTGTCATTGCATTATTCGCCCGTGACGACAGGGCTGTCTTTCTCCCCCCACCTCTACCTTTGCACCAAAATAACATAAAAATCGCCTTTTTCTGTTCTTAATTCTACAGGGGTCTCAACGCCTGTATCTCAACCCTCTTCTGGCAGCCACATGTCACTTTCCTAGTCATTTTCGATACACATTTTATCTCTTCTGAGTTTTCAAAACTCTGGAGGCAGAGAGTCAGTCCTAACTGTGAATTTGGAATGAGCGAATCTCGTGGCTCTTAAGCTTTCTTCCGTTTGCAATCTTGAGTCACATTATTTATAGGCTGTTACAAATGCTCTTCTAAAAAGCTACCCAGTCCTATTACTGTTGTATCTGGCATTTCTGCACCAAGTTGCTATCACAAGTATGCAATTTTTTTCTGCTGTTGGTGATGACTTAGCTCAGAACACTAGCAAGCCATACTCTTGCAAAGAGCTTCTAGGAGGAGAACAGCCGGTAAGGCAGGGACCCTACAGATTCTATTTGTTGCCAGAGTTCTCCCAGCATGTGTCTGAGAAGCTAAAGTCCTGCCTCACTCTTTCATCTAGATGTATTTATTAGCCACATCAAAAAGTTGCCTTGTCTCACGGTCTGTCTGGGTTTACTGGAGCATGTTGCTCCTTATTCCTGCACTGCTGACACTACAAATGAAGTAAGTGTTCGGCCTATATTTAGAGTTAAAGTTCATGGATAATGGACATGGAGATGATACAAACAAACAAGCATAATGTTCTGGTACACACTTGCACCATAGGAAAGAACCCCAGAGGACAAATGTATAAGCATTACCAAGCTCACCTAGGCCTAGTCCTGGGACTATACTTCCTGACTCTCATCAAGTGCTACATAGAAGACTGTGGCCAGTGTCTGAAGAGCCCAGATGCCCTCTTTTTTTGTTTGTTTGTTTTTTATTTTTTGCTTTTTCGAGACAGGGTTTCTCTGTGTAGCTTAGGAGCTTATCCTGGCACTCGCTCTGGAGACCAGGCTGGCCTCGAACTCATAGAGATCCGCCTGCCTCTGCCTCTGCCTCCGGAGTGCTGGTATTAAAAGCGTGCACCACCAATGCCCGGCTCCCAGATGCCCTCTTACCTTGAAAATCTGCCCTTCCTTCCAAGAGATACAAAAGAAAAAGAAAAAAAGAAAGTCTTCAAAAAAATCTAGCTCTTATTTTGTACTTCTGATGCCCCTTTTAAGGCTGACACCACAAGACACACACACACACACACATATACACACACACACACACACACACACACTTGATGCCCCTTTTAAGGCTGACACCACAAGACACACACACACATATATACACACACACACACACACATACACACACACAAATTTTTTAATTATAGATTAAATGTTTATTTATTCTTATTATTGATAGAATACTCAAAGTGGGGTGAGTTTTTTGTTTTGTTTTTTAAGGAATCATTGCCTGGAAACTTCTTCACATTTACCACGCCCAATTCTTACAATTCTAAGTTTTCTTAACATGGACAATAGTGTTTTGTTTTACTTACTTTTAAAGATTTTTGCTTGCTTTTTTCCTTGGCAGTTGTGGAAACATCACCTTCCAAAGGCTCACTGGAGTCCTCTAGTGGCACAGTTTCTAACATTTCCTGAGACTTAAACCTTAAGTTCTCTTCTCCTATGGTTCCCCATTCGAAAACATCCTCCTGTTCAATCTGGAAGATGCTTGACACAGCCTCAGAAGGCTCCTCAGAAATACTGTGCTGAAGAAAAATACAAGTACAGAAAGTTCATCTTACTGGTCTTTCCAGGGTCTTCAGCTCTACACTGTGTTCTATCCAGCAACAGATGGCTCAGTAAATGTGTGTCTGAAATTCATCTGAGCTGCCAAATTCTTTTTCTCCAGATTTCAAAAGAAAACTTCTAATCGACTTAATGAAAAACCTGAAAGCCAGAAAATTATTTCCCCTGGCCTTATGTCACCAAATCCTAAGGAAACAAATCTTCATAGACACATTTCTTTATTAGTCAATTTTTTAAAAATAGATTATTTGGGATTATGGACCACTGGGAGTTAAAAACCTCACTGCCTCAAATGATAAATCTAATCCGACTTAAATAAAAAGTCTGAGTTATATGGAGTGGCTTTACAATACGATTATACCATTTTGTTCTTTAATATAATCAAAGATGCTGTGCAGTGTCAAGCACCACACAAGTGTCTTTGTTATACAAGAAGGAATAACTGGATCAGGAGCTTATAAAATACAGCATTAGTCTTGAGCTCATATTTTTATACAGTGACTGACTGGTGGTGTTAAAGAAAAATTAACAATACTTCCAAGATGATGGTACTGCCCCAAGTCCTGGATCCGTCAACGCATAGATGTTTGAACCTGATCAAGTTACTTACACTATTTTCCTCAATGATAAGGGAAATTTCATAAAATGACAAAGTAGATATATTGGGTTATTACATGCTATGCACTCTGTTTTCGTGATCTCCACTTGTGATCAATTGATGTGTTTTATGTGATCAATTGATGTGTTTAATGTTAAGTAGCAAACATTATTGTCAAACACTTCCTTTGTTTTGCATTTCTTTGCTCCTAGCTTCTTCTTCTCACAGAGTTCAAGTTGGGGAGACTGAACAAATGGAAGCAGCATCCCTCAAAACTGAAAACAGGGGAAGAAAAGCTCAAAGGAGGGTAATGATAGGCCTTGAGCTATAGTCCTCCCTGCTTCAGGAATCTGTCCAGCCTCATCTATTGTCTAAACCCTTCCTAACATGCCACTCCTGTGCCTGCCTCCATTACAGCTTGTTAGCACACAGCGTTCTAACTGCCTCAGCCGCAGCATCATAATCGTTAAGTGCTCATATGACCACTGCCTCACAGATCCATGGCACAGGAGCAGTGTATAACCCCACTCTTTATGGATGACAGAAAATGAGGCTTTGACAAGTTGGGTAATTTAACCAAGGTCATACATTAAGTAGCAAAGCTGTTCTCCGATCTAGACAACCTCCTTCTAAAGTGTGCACTACCAATTTGTCTTTCATTTGATATAGATTGATGGTTCCAGAAATTTGGCTCACAGATCCCTGACAATATTGGAAACCCTTCTAGGAGGGCTGCAATGCCAAGTGACTTTAATAAGATTAAACTGTTATTATTCACCTTTTCCCACTGTGTTGAAATTTGCACAGATGATGAAAAACAATGGTGAGTAAACTGGTGAAATGCTTAACACATAGACAATAAAACATCTAAGGTGAAAGATGAGCTCAAGAAGGACCCAAGGATTTCACTGCACACATGCATTCAGTTCACACATCTGGACTCTTAATTCTATACCGCAATGAATCTTTAAGCACCACTTATACAATTTTTGTGCATTAACCAGGAAACATATTTATTGCTGTGATAAAAAGCTATTAAAATATGACTTACTTTCCAATGTATGTGACACTAGATTTAACATAGTTCATTTGAAAGAACACATTACTATATATATATATATATATATATATATATATATACATAAAATGTAAGTGCATACAATTTTCTTGTTATCATTTGTGCATGAGAGTGTGTGTGAATACAGGTATGTGTGTGTAGGGCAGACGACAGCTTTACAGAGCTGCTTCTCTCCTTCCACTATGGGTTTTGCGGACTAAACTCAGGATGTCAGGTTTGCACACTAAGCTCTTTTACACATGAAGCATTTCTTAGGCCCTGAAAATTATAATTTATGTTAATATGCAATTGGCTCTAAAGTATTCTCTTAAATGAAAAAAAAGCCACTTAAATTCCTCAGTTTGGGTTTTATCCAATAGATAAAATTAATTGACATAATTCACTTGTGTCATTTTAGAATTTCAAGACAGGGTTTTGTTGTTTTTTTTTTTTACACTGTATAGCCCTGGCTATCCTGGAACTTGCTCTGTAGATCAGGCTGGCCTCAAACTCTCAGACATCCCCTGTTTCTGCCTCCCTAGTGCTGGGATTAAAGGTGTGTGCCACCACCACTTGGCAGCATAATTCACTTTAAGAAAAGTTCCTTGGATAGATATCTTTAAACAATTTTAATTGTCCAAGAGCATTTGATCCTTTAAAAAAATGGATTCTTAAAAAACCTTAGTTCAAAAAGGTTCTTTAAAAAAGAAATTGTAGGGCTGGTAAAATGGCTTGGCGGGCAGAACAATTTGTCATATAAGCATAATGCCCTGAGCAAACCCATGAGATTGGATGCTCCCCTAGCATCCACATGAAAAGCAAGATGCAGTAGATGCCAACCAAGCTGGAGTCTGAGGCACAGCAGAAGCAGAGAGCCTGCCTTGGCCTCAGAAAGGTAAAAAAACCAATGCCTGAAAACTGTCTGACCTCTCCACACACACTGCAGCACAGACACCCCTGTATATACAAGAAAATACTACACACACACACACACACACACACACACACACACACACAAAGACACAATTTTCAAAGACAATGTGCCACATTTCTCTTTAATGTTTCAAGTATTTGGCATACTAGATGCATTTTATCGCTATTTATAATAAGTAGATGAATAATGGAAATTAAATTGCTTCAGTTTTCATCTACCACATAACTAGCCTTTACTAGAATACTTATAGTAGTAGCATATTTCTGCTTATTGGCCAATGAACTAAATGAATTACTCCAGGACAAGGTCTGCTCTTCCTCAGTCCTTTCTATCAACCTCTTCTAAAGCAGTTCAATGAGTAGATTAAGTCAATCTTATTCTATTGATGATTTCATTGTGTTGAGAATAACTCATATTTTCAATTTACTCTACACACTACTGGATTAATGACCTGTTGTGCTACCTTGAGGCAGTTACCCTAGATACAGGTTAAGCCCACAGCTGCCTGTGTGATAAGGCTTGATAACTGGTTGATCCACACACCATTGATAAGTGGCTAATAGTATCACCACACAGGTAGTCCTGAGGCAGGCCATTTGCATACAAAGGGGAGCAAAGATCCAGTCAAACCAAAAGCATCTTTAAGTGTAGCACTTGGGGTACCCTTGTTGCTTACAGGCTCCAGGGTTTCATGAAAACAGAAGATTCTATATGTTTTCTGGGTGCTATCCTAAAATGAAATGTGATATATATATACATATATATATTTTATATACATATATATACATATGTGTGTGTGTGTGTGTGTGTGTGTGTATCTCACATATACATATAGGGTTATATTTTCAAAACTCTCATGTAAAGCAGCTGATCATCATGTCTTCTTACGTAAATGTGGATACACTTTTAATTCATTTACTTTTACTTAATATTAACTTTTACTTTATGTGGAGACACTTTCCATTATCAGAGAAGATGTCCCATCATATTTCAGATACCATCATCATTTTGCCAGTGGTGGACAGGCGGCAAGATTTGCTTTTGAAACACTTCTGTTACTCACTGTCCAGACTGTGCCTCAGCAGTTCTTCTAGCTAAATGTCTATTAAAATGATGCTTTCTTAGAGGTTAATAATTTAATTATGTCACAAGCTACCTTCTATATTTAAGCATCTCTAATTCAGAAGAGCTATTAATAACCTTTCTCTCTGAAAAGAGTGTTTGGCACCACTTGAAACCATTTCTGAGAGCCAAGGGAGCCAGAAAATACCCATGAGGCTTTGGATCAGATGCTTAAACACACTTATACAGTAAGTTAGAGGAAACTGTTTTTAACTCTCTGCAAACATTCAATCAGTAGGAGACACACTGTTACATTAATACAGGGAAAGAAGGTTTTTACTGGAGATGTTACCGTGACTGGCCGTGTCGGAACAGGTATCTGGATCTCTTTCTCTTCTTCTGCCTTGAATGTATGTGACTGAGTTGATCTGAGGTACCTTTGTTCTATCAAAGAAATACCCTGAAGAGAAAAAGAAACAAAGCAATCTCAACTGGTGAAAATCATTGAAATGCATTATTTAGTATATCAAAGTGTTAAGCATTTAAAACAGTAAATTAGCAGTGCATAAGAGAAATATAAAGTACTCAATAACATTCAGTAAATGAGAAAAGTATTTTTTAAAGTATGAAAATATTTTTGTGTGGTTGGGCATGGTGGTACAAGCCTTTAAACCCAATACTTAGGAAACATAGGCAGACAAATCTCTGAGTTAGAGGCGAGCCTGGTCTACATAATGATTTCCAACCCATTCAAGCTATATAGTGAGACCCTATCAAACACATGCACAAAAAAAGTTTATTCTATTTCATGGACTTTTAAATTGTTGACCTTTATAAATAGATGATTAAATTTAATAATACAACCATATAATATTGTATCAGATAAGATGAAATCAGGTATTGTAGGCATTACACAAGAAATTAAAATCAAAACTAAAATTTAATCCAAGCAAAAGTAATATGAATACATTTTAGCCACCACTGACTGACTGACACAACAGAATACCATACAATAGAATTTCATCAGTGCAGCACTGTGTCTTCAGGTATCACTAATGCTGGTTACAATCATCAGCACTCTATTTAGCTGTGGTCATAAGACGACATTGCAGGGGTGAACAGTAAACCCAGAATCAAAGACCCTGGTATTGTGTAAACTATAAGGCCCCATATCTGACATCACAGACAAGTTAGTTTGTTTACTTTTACCTCAGTGTTATCACCCAGGAACTCAGATGTATGATTTTATTTTTTTTTTAATTTTTTTTATCAGAAACAAGCTTCTTTTTTTTTTTTGCTACTATTTTTATTTGAATTAGAAACAGGATTGTTTTACATGACAATCCCATTTC